GAGGGGAAAGCCTCGATCGTCGACAACCTCTTCGCCACGGAGATCGTTCGCTGCACTCCCCAACGCGATCTCCCCAGTCGCAGCAGAAGCGGGCCGTATCTGCTTTCCTCCACTGACCACCAAAACGTCCGGTCTTCTTCCCATGAACTCAGCAACAGCCGGCCGTCAGCGCCTTCCTCCGCTGAACACGAAACCATGACACCCTCTTACCAAATTTTTTTGATGGAAACTGATTCTCCTCCTGTCCTGCGGGTAGGCGAAAGGATAACGTGGGAACCCAGTAGAAAAGGTGTGCTTATTTCAGCCAAACGAAAACTAAATGAAAAATAAATGAAAACTAAATGATAATGTGGGAAACCAGGAGAAAAAGGTGGGTAGTGGACGATTCTTAGTTCTGCAATCTGGCGGGGAGTTCTATTTTTTTTCCCGCTCAACACCCTGCCACATCAGTAGAAAAGGTGTGCTTATTTCAGCCAAACGAAAACTAAATGAAAACTAAATGATAACGTGGGAAACCAGGAGAAAAAGGTGGGTAGTGGACGATTCTTAGTTCTGCAATCTGGCGGGGAGTTCTATTTTTTTTTCCCGCTCAACACCCTGCCACATCAGCTTCCTAAAATCACTCTATGGACAGGAAAATTTGAATGGGGGGTGTAGTTTTACTTTTCAGCTATAAATTATACTGTTGATTTTCAATAACGAAATTAAACCTACAAATCTACACTATATAAAATGGGTGTTCAAAAAATTATTTATTTATTTTTATATATATAGTTGATTATTAATTACAAATGTAATTAGTTTAGTACTTGAGAATACCGATTGAGATAGTGAAAGATTTTGAATTTGGATTTAGATTGTTAATTTATTTTGGAATTTATTTTGATTTTTGGATGCATTTGGAATTTATTTTGATTTTTGGATTCATTCGATATTCTGATTCGATACCAGGTATCACAATACCAATACCCATTCTCACCCCCTAGTTATAATCGTTATTAGATATTTCATTATAAATTAAATGTCTGCCCATTACTTACCGAGTTACGTTGTTGTTTTTCAACTAAACAATCCTCGACTACCGTGGCCGAATTCCCAAGGAGCTTGGAAATTTTGTCCCGTGGTCGGAAGAGCCCATCATCCTCATGATTATTTAGTTCCAGGTACAATGTCCTCAACTAGCAAAAACCATTATTCGCTCTGCTCTGTTTCCTCATTAGGACCTAACTCTTTGTGGAACATAAAACAGAAAGCTCCAACGTCGGGAAATGGACTCACATGACATGAGGAACACAAAACCCTTTACCTAACTCCTATCTATCGGCTGTTGGTAACAGAAGTAGAACAATACATTTCCAACATCGGCTTTGTCCAATTAACAGCCACTAACTTCATTCGCTACATGCATGCATGCCAATTGAAGAATTAAAACAAACAAGTATAGGGCAAATATTTTGATCCTCTCCCACGTAGAGATTTGGTTCCCGAACCCACGTATATAAATATGATCGTTTTGCTTTATGATTATGGGTTACTGACGAGGCAATGATAATTGATTACATGCTCGTAGTATGTGTACTTGAGTTTCGGGTGCATACAAAAGGTTAATACCCTTGTGTGAATTCGATAATATGATTATTTACGATAAGATTACGAAAAGTGTTGTCCTTTTTTAAGAGTAAAATCGGAATGGCCTAAGTCCCTTATTAATTACTATAAAAAAAATAGTTTTTTTTTTGTCTTTGCCTACTAGAAATAGAAACCCATGAATACCACGAAAGAGTTCGTTTGGAATGTTTGATTACGAAACTGGTGTATTACAAGAATATGTGCATTAAGATTATGTTGTATACCAAGTATGTGTGTTTTAAAAATTCATCTTTTGAAAAAACATTAAAAAGGCAAGGAGTATACAATAATGAACTATATATGCATACTAAATCTCACCGGAAAGGTTTGATTCAATATTCATAATTTTCTATGTACTAAGAATACATCATGTGTTCTCAATACATGCATTCCGTGCTTAAATCAAATAAAAAAAAAAGATATATTCTGCAGGATACATCATACATGTATGCTCGAAATACAACGTAAGTTTAGAATGGAGGTTCTAATATAATCGAAGGCTAAAAGTCAGCCTTGTCTTTCCTTACAAGTGCCCTAATAAGTAATAACCATGACTCTAATGTCATCAATTTGGGTACTCCTTCCGCTAGTTCAGTGAACCTTTCTTTGAGCGTTCTTGTCTGCAAATCCAACCAAATCCAAACGGTCGCTTAGTTAGGTGCGTGGCCGGGGAGCAAAGGGCGATGTCTCAGGAGATATGTGCAGTGAATAAAGAATTACTAACATATATGTTGTTGTCAAAGACTGCGATAGCTCAAGGCAGTAAAAAAGAAAAAAACCTAATTCACTGCCGGGCATTGGGACCGCACCACAGTAAAAAAAAGGAATATGGTGCAGAAAGTTGAGTCCACAACTGATAAAGATGTGTGGCAGTAGTAGTTACGGATATGGTGGTAGCTCGAGGAGGGAAAGGGATGTTGCTTCGTCTCTGGGCTTTACTTCCATTGATGGTCGTGTTGTAATCGATGTGATTTTGAGACTTGTAGGGCAGAGGAGCCCCAAATTGAAAGCTCTTGTTTCTTCTGGGTGAGGGACCGTGGGCCTGAATGGCTTTGCCTTTGCAAGCTCAGGGTCCCAAGGGGAGGAAAATATGATCTGTTGAGTTCATGTAAGGTCACAGCTCACAACCCAACAGGGTTCTTTCATAAATTTAAGAAAAGGGAGAAGGGAGAAGGGAGAAGGTAGAACAGAAGCGTGGGTGTGCAATTGTTTAGTTCGGAGTTCATGAGAATTACAATCTAATAATGAAAGATACGTTAGGACAAAAGATCATATCATTATTGTATTTCGTTTGTTTTTGTTTGATTTTGGCTAGATCCAAATGTTAATTAGATTCATGATTTTTCAGTATTTATAAAATTAAGGGACCAATCGTTTACACAACTCCTATAAGTGTGAGTGAAAAGTGGTAGATGAGTTTGTTACGTTATTTAAACTTGATTAGGCAAGAGATGAAACGAGAATTAAATGGTTCGCTTTTGAATGACTTTACGTATACATGGGGTGAGATTATTGCTATTATTCAGCAATCATCCTATATGTATATTTACATATATCGATATGCATACACATACGAGGAAGAGATGAAGAAGGTATTGGACCCTCGACCAACAATGAACATGCTTCGATGGATGGTCATAATTGTCCCTAATTACACACATATTAGCAGGCCTAGCTTGCACATACGCACTAAAATGTGGATTACGAGGTTTAACTCGCTTGACAGAGTTGAATATCGAGTGCGTACATTTCCCCAAAGCTTAAAAATCTGAGTTTCGGGTTAAATTGGTTTTGAAAGATTTGAGAGTAAGGTTATAGGCATTAGGCAATGTATCATGGAGGGTGCTAACAAGTCATGGCTAAAAAGCTTTGGTACCTCATCCTAATTAACACCACACAATACAGAGAATCATGTTGGCCCTGTTGGGTGGCCATTGTTTTTCGTTACAAATGGACGAAAGTAAGAGTTCATTGGATGCAAATGCGCTACGAAGATCACTACTAGACACTAGTTGCTTCCCCAACGGCGACGTTTTGGACTTTGGTTCAAGGAAAGAAATCGCCATTATGGCGATTGGACCAAGGAAAAAGTTGATAGAGGCATGCTTAAAGACCAGGGCCTTTCTTCGGAAACAAACCACGGATATTCAGTCGAAGTAACAGAGCCAGCTGCAGAGAAAACAGAGCAATTCGAAACAGAGCCTCTCTGCCTCTCAACTCCATTAACCAGCGGATATATATATATATATATATATATATATAGAGAGAGAGAGAGAGAGAGAGAGAGAGAGAGAGAGAGAGAGAGAGAGATTTGATGGGTATTGATATCTTTACTTCACCGACTTGATGGTTTTTCCAGTCTGCCTTCCATCATCAATGGTACCTTTACTTTTATACTGCTTTTGTTGTCTTTTGGAGAGGGAAAAAGGAACGAAAGAAGCCAAAGGTAGTTCCCATGGGTAGCAATAGCATAGCACCACGGTTAATATGATATGTTCTTTTGGGAAAGGCTCTTTGGATTGGATGGAGAAGAAAGGAGGGAAGGATGCTTCCTCTTGAATCAACTCGAGACTGCTGTTAGGCTGCCTAACTAAGCTGGGATTTGAGGTGACTGGCTGGCTGGCTCTGAAGCTTCCTAAAAAAGCAGATGAGCCATTTTCGATTTATGGTCAGTTGTGTAGCAAACGTGACAATGGATGGATGGAGTAATGTATATTGGTTGTGGAAGCCACGCCGATGGTTGACTTCGTTGCCATTGAAGTTTCTTAGTCTCATTCTAGTCGGCATAAGTAGATAAGGAAGAATCAACAAGAGGAGATGATTAATTACGAGGATCATGTTCGCGACAGGAGGACGTTTAGGATAGAACAGTAAAAAAAATGGTAAGTTTTGTATTCATTTGCTGGATTCTGTTCTGTCCAATGATGATGATTTGCTTTAAAAATTGGATGACCTAAGAGCGAGAGTATAAACATGTCATCACTCATTGTAATGTCATTTGTTTGAAGTGGGTGAAAGACACGAGATTAGGGTTTTGGTTTCGTCTGTTCACGAACAAATAAAAAAAGTTTTGATTTGGATATCACGAATTCGGCCTACGACTATAGTCTAAGTTGGTCAAATTCATTATCACCCTATAATTTGGATATCGACAAAGCTTACTTCATATGAGTTTTGAATTAAAAGGCTAATGCGAATAGGAAAACAAAATCACTGTCCAAGAAAAAGTTACTTACGGTAGGTGTGGGTAAAACTTTTTCACCCAACCACCAGTCGTTAGGGTGACATAAGCAAAATCTCACAATCTATAGACACAATCGTTGGACTGCTACTCTACTCCATTAGGCCGTGGAAGAAACGAACAAAAAGTACCACACACAAACTTCCAATTCTGATTTACGTTAGCAAAAGCCATTGGTGGAGGGGAATCATATAATTCGAACAAATTGCAGAAACAGAAACTGCCCATTCCAGCAAGAAATTCCTTTATATCCTCATCATCCCAAGCTTTGACGAAAAGAAAAGGAAAGAACCCACCAGGCTCTGCCCTGTAGCTCCCCTGCTCCTTCTACAGAATTTTATTACGGGCTAACTAAACGGAGCTGTCGTCGTTCAGCACATGCTAACACCGTTGGATTGCGTCGAGTTGTTACAATTCAAAACCCCGCATAATCTCATGATGACAGCGTCGTGTATGCAACACATTATTCATCTCTGCTTAACCGAACTCAGAACTCTGTTCTATGGTCACTGGTAATAATAATTAACCCAACAGCATACAGGCTAATGAGTAGTAGTAACCAACAATTTTACTTTATAGACAGACAAACAACTGCTACTACTGCTTTTGGATTGATTACATTTTCCCTACAGTCTGCAATCATCGTCATCATCCCTTCCCTCCATGGATGGATGATGGATTCGTCCTACTACAATGCATCCAAAAAGAAAACCATCGAAACCACGAAACTACCCTACCTGTTTCATCGCCCTATCTCTCCTTTGCTTAACTTTACAGCAAGAACCCAAAAAAAGAAAACAAACAAGGAAAAAACAGAGTCCCCTGTTTTTCTCTTGTCCTGTTTTGTATTGTCTTTTCAAATTTTCAATTTCAGGGGAGGTTCAAACTCTCCCGCTTTCCTCCTACTGGCTTCAATATTTTCCAATCAGAACTCGTCGCTGGAAACCCTAGGCGAGTCCATCGAGCGGTCACTTGAGAATCGTGATAGCGAAGACGAATCTGAAACAAAAAATCAAAATTGTTGGGTGACGGGGAAAGAATGAAGCAAGAACAGAGACCAATCTGAAAGAAAAGATGGTTTCTTTTACCTCTGGAAGAGTTGAAAGATCTCTTGCAGTGAAGAATGGCGCTCTGGATCCCGTCATTCTGCAGTAGAAGGGAGTCATCCCTCCGCTGCAAGGTGGCCGGTGGCGATACTCCGGTGCCGGAAGATGCTGACTTGCTCTTCCTTAGATGCTTGCATACCTCCCGGATTCCAGCCGGGAAACTTCCATGTTTCTCTTTTTTAGGGGAGCTGACCGGGGCAGTCGCCGCCGGCGATGCCGACGGAGTCGTAAACGGCGACAAGAGCTCTCCTGAAAACTTCATCCGGTCGCATTCCTTCTTGGCGACCTTGATGTAGAGCGGATTGATGAGCTTCAAGTACTTCTGCACGATCTCCTTGGGGAATCTCCTCGAGGAATTCTCCGACGACGTGTCGTCCAAGATCTGCTTCCTCAAGCTGTTGTTCCTCGCCAATTTCGAACGGCCATTGTTGTAGGAACCTCCACCCATCTCGTCGAGCTTCACTTTCACAGTGACGAACCGCTGCTTCTCTTCCTGATTCAACCCCTTTTCCTGTTTCTCCCCTGTTTTCTGAACCGGCATCGACTTGGACTTCCTGAACGCGAGGACCCGAAATTTGGGACCCTGTTTCAGTACAGAAATCGGAGACTGGTGAGGCTTGGGAGAGGAGACGGGTTCGATTGGGAGTATCTTCCGCTTTGAAAACAGAGGCTCGGTTGCAGGAGGGGACTGATGCTGCTGAACCTTGGGCTCGGCTCTGTCGGCCAATTTATTGGGGCTTTTACATCTGTCGCCATTAATGCTCCTTGGGTAGTCAAAATCAGGAGGAACAGTGAGCTCCAATTCAAAGAAAGAGTCTTCCTCCTCTTCTTCTTCGGAATCATCATAAGCTTCACCATTGTTCAACCTCGCATTCACACACTCGACTTTGTTTTGCGATTTCAGGTGGGTAGTGGTGGGTCTCAGGAGCCTGAGAAAGTAGAGAACATCCATTTTCAACGTATGGGAAAGGCGGACGGAGCAAGAGAGAGAGAGAGAGAGAGAGAGAGAGAGAGGGAGAGAGGGAAATGGAGATTGGGTTTGGTTTGGTTTCTGATAGTAGGGTTTTTTTCAGCGGGGGAAAGGGGTTTTTATATAGGGAGGGAAATGGAGGCCGCAAGAGGGAAGAATGAAAGGGAACGAACGTGGAGAGGGGGAGAAGAGAAAGAAAGCTTTTGCACTTCGTTTGAGGGTCTTCCCTTCCCTTTTATTTTTACCTTTTGTTTTTCCACCGGGGTCTCCTGGAACTGTGTATTGAAAATGGTGTTTCGATGGCAGAGAAAGAAAGAGGGGAAAAACCAGAGGACTAGTGATGTAAGCTTTTTCTCTCTGCTTTTTCTGCAAAGCTAGACTGTGTATCAGAGAGAGTGTGAGATGGGGTGAATGATCATCAATGGTGGGTTTTAGTTTGGGGCTTTGGAGCTTTTTGTATGCTTATGATTTGTACTTTGGCTGATTTTACTACCTTGGTTAATTTCTACAAGTTGGGCACCAATTTCTGCATTAACTTGATTAATAATCTACTTTTCACTCACAATCACCATCCTACTATTCATGTCGATGTTGTTGGATCGTTCGTGCATGTATCTGTCGTAATCTTCATGTGTGTTCTTGGTTATCGAATTGGCAAAATGACATATTAATAAAAAAAAATTACCATCACTATCACCGAGCTTATGATAAATGTATTCAGTATTCACATACAGATACGTGAATACTCTTGTACTTCATTGATTGAAGCGGGAATACAAGTGCACAGTATAATGCGTGGTACGTTATTCAATCACTAAGTGCTTGTTAAACTCTCTCCATGAGACTTTGCTTCTATTGTGAAATCTTCAGCTCAATAGTCCTCATCAAAAAAGCAACATGTTACTCGATGTCAACGTGAGAATGAGAGTAATCTTCTTATCAAAAACAAATAACAGCTTCCACACAACTTATTAGCAAAAGAGCAAGATTCAAATTTTCTGGCGTCATAGACTATTTATCAATTGTTGATTCCTTGCAGAGAGACAGGGTGCTGTTGCTGTAGCGTAGACTGTGCCATAACCCTATTCTTTAAAATAAACAACAACATATAAATTTCCCAGGTCGCGTCTGAGCACTGCAGAGAGAGTACAGAGCAGGGCAGGGGAGAAATTGTTCGTAGCAGTCTCACTTCACTTTCACATTTCAATTTTCCTTTCATTCCCCTCTCGCGCGCGCCCAGAAGTAAAAAAAAGGCCAGAACCAGAAAAAGCTTTTCCAGTCGTTGGGTTGGACCATAAAATGGAAGAAGTTTCGTACTAGTCTGCTCCTCTGCTATAGATCTAGACGGCAGGGGAGGCTTAATACTTATATATATTAGTTTAGGGTTAATGACCTCAACATTTCGCAAAACTGCATCGTATCGACGGTGCAATGAGAAAAATATGCTGATAGAGTCCACACCAATAGACGGTTGGTTTTAACTTTATGAAACCACTGAATTTTCTGGTTCAATCTTCGGTACGATTTTACAATGGTTGATTTTTAGTCCCAAAGGCAAGTTAGCAGCTAACCAAGTCATCTACACTCCATCACCAATCACCCACTTTGTTTGGGTTTATTCAAATTGGGTCCTTGGTTCAGTAAAATTTTACATTTGGGTCACATCAAAATCTCATATTTGGGAGATTTTTCCAGAAATAGCAGTGTTTAAAAAAAAATTCCAAAAATAGCACCCAACTCCGAAAAATTCCAAAAATAGCACCATTTTTGAAAAACCGCAACCCGGAGGTGCGTTTTTCGAAGAAAACGCCACCCGAGGGCGCGTTTTTCGATGAAAACCGCACTGGTAGGGAGCGGTTTTGAAAAACGCACCCCCAGGGTGCGATCTGCTTTTTTTTTTTTTTTTTGCAAACCGCACCCCCAGGGTGCGATCTGCCTTTTTTTTTTTTTTTTTGAAAAATCCTAATTTAGGTGGAACCTTCAAACGAACGTATCTTTATGTTCGGGTATCCGATCGTCGCGATTTTTTTTTTGATTCCGCATAACTTTTTGAGATCTTGCAAGCCGAAGACTGCCAAAGGTGGTTTAGTCTCGCCTTCGTACCAAAAAATGTCGTTTGCTACCCCGAACGAGCTTTTTTCTGATTTCGTCAAACTTTAGATAACCGTAACTTTGTGCTCCAAATCCAAACGGCATGATTTTTTTTATTTCGCATAACTTTTTAAGGACTATAATTTTTAATAGGAATGTATTTTCAAAACAGGAATTATTTTTGGATATACAGGATTTTGGGAATAGTTTATCTTCCCTTCTCAGCAATCCACATACATTTTGAAATTATGTCTATGATAAAAGTTGTATTCCTTAAAAATTTATGTGTGAATGGGATTCCCTAGTGCTTGTGCTTGTTCTTCTTCTTCTTTCTTTCTTTGAGTTTTGGCTGGTGCTACTCTTGTTCAAGGTCTCACCTTGCCTTTTATTTCTTCTTGTACAGCTTTTTCTTCCCACTGCTCGTGGGCTCTAATTTAAGTTCATCATCTTCATCAAAAAAAAAAAAAAAAATTTATGTGAAATAATAAAAAAATTCATGCCGTTTGGATTTTGGAGCACAAAGTTATGGTTGTCCAAAGTTTGGCGAAATCAGAAAAAAGTTCGTTCAGGGTAGCAAACGACATTTTTTGGGACGAAGGCGAGACCAAACCACCTTTGGCAGTCTTCGGCTTGAAAGATCTCAAAAAGTTATGCGGAATCAAAAAAAAATCGCGACGATCGGATACCCGAACATAAAGATACGTTCGTTTGAAGTTTCCACCTAAATTAGGATTTTTCAAAAAAAAAAAAAAAAAAAAAGGCAGATCGCACCCTGGGGGTGCGGTTTGCAAAAAAAAAAAAAAAAAAAAAAGCAGATCGCACCCTGGGGGTGCGGTTTGCAAAACCGCTCCCTACCAGTGCGGTTTTCATCGAAAAACGCGCCCTCGGGTGGCGTTTCCTTCTAAAAACGCACCTCCGGGTTGCGGTTTTTCAAAAATGGTGCTATTTTTGGAATTTTTCGGAGTTGGGTGCTATTTTTGGAAAAAAAATTTAAACAGTGCTATTTCTGGAAAAATCTCCATATTTGGTGTAACCAAAAATTGTAAGATCGTACCAAAGTCCAGATGGTCACATTTTATGATGTTTGCTTGCACACAAACACCCCATGTTTTCAATGCTATGACAAATTGACAAGCTATGTGATCCTTACAGCCTGTTTGGATAGACAAAAAACTCAGGAATTGGAATTCCATTTTCAATTCCAGTTCCATATTTTATGTTTGGAAGGATAAGAAGGTTGAGAAATGAATTCCATTTGGGCTAAGTTTGGGGAATTACAATTCCTATCAAAAGTGATAGGAATTGTGTTTATGAATATGGAATTAGTGGGTCCCATCACTATTTATTATTATTTTATTAACCAACTATCACACTACTCTCTTTCTCTATCATTCATATTTCATTTCCCAAGATAAAATAAATATATTATATTATTGATTATTGTTAAAAGTGCAATTCATTTCTTTAGTTGGAGGAATTATACCAAACACTAAAATTGGAAATGGAATTCTATAAAAATAGGAATTGGAAATAGAATTCCATTTCCATTTCTTCTTGAATTGTATCCAAATAGGCTATTAGTTATGCTAAGAAACATTGGTTATTTGTTTCATTTGGTCAAACACAATAGCAAAATTATTTCCCCACTAAATAATTATATCCAACATCCCATGTTACTCTAACCTTGAAGTTTACAAGTGGTCCACCTAGAGCATTGTTGATCCAACTAATCATCAGTTGGGATTAGCTCAGGTGATGAGAAGTAGTGTTAACAAGGTGTAATGTTGTGTTATACTATCACATTACAATTGTGAAACATCCTTGTCCTTGGTCACTAAGAGAATTGTATATGATAGGGGACCCTTGGTTTGCTCTGTTGAGTTCGTTTTGTGGATTACGGAAGAACAATACTAATCTAATCAATAATTAAGATCGAACTTTAGATGGTAAAGCATGAGATCGGCACGATGTATTCTTGTATTCTATTATTACAATTCACAATTCTAAAAAATATAATCTTTTATTTGTGGTCACCAACAACACTGTATGCTTGAATCGTTTGTTTGCTCTCATGGGTACGTTACATAAGAATTGAGAACGACATGTCATGTGAAAACCCGTTAGTAATCTCAAATGCATACTGCCCGTACTCTGTATCTCAAAGCACAATCAAACTCAATCTTGTATTCTAAATGGTGGGTGCGAAAGAACAAACAGGGTATGGAATTGGATGAGGAGAAAAAGGGTACTTGGGTGTGACAGCAAGGTTCCAAAAAGAGGGGAGAAAAGAGAACACAAACGATAGAACAAAAGGAAAAGGGCCGAAAAGAAAAGGAGAAAAAAAGAACAAAGGAAACGTATAAGGTCATGTTACACCAGAGGTGCAAAAAGAAAAGGGCCAAGCAAAGGAACAAGAGCTCCCCTCAATTGGAATCTCTATGTGAAGGTTTTTTTGGAGGGGAGGAAAAGAGTACTTTGAAATACGCTCTCTCTCTCTCGAAAGATATGCAAAGTCAGAAGTTTAAGGGGTTCTTTTCGCAAAGAGCAAAGCCATTTAGCCTGGGGCACGCATGTCCATTGTTTGGCCTTTGGCTTAATTAGCTTTGCTCTGCTTTGGTTTTGCCTTTGGCTTTGGCTTTAACAGAGTCCAAACTTCCTTTACTAGATGACAAAAGTTTTGTGCTCGGGCATCTGGCTAAGGTCCAAGTAGGCCGTCTTTGTTCAAAGGGAAAAACAAAGGTTTGACTTGTACAGCGCAGATGGGGGCCAATGGCATCTCTGCTCTTGAAAGGGATTAAAGGGAGAGGACACGTTTAGAGGCAGCATATTATGCCCTTTAACTTTGACTAATTAGGGCTTGTTTGGACGTGGTATTTAGGCAAGGGTTGTGCCTTGAGAATAAGGAGGAGCTCATACGAGAAATTGTACCGTGTTTTGACTTGTTGAGAGAAATTTAAAAACAAAACTGAAAACTAAAAGTATTGTATTGCGCGCATCTTCTCAAATGAAGATTGACTCGTGAAGTTGACATTTTGTACGAAATTATCGTGTAAAATACTTTAATCAAAAGGTATCACAACTGGTTTGACAAAGTGGCCGTGTATTCGAATTTCTACAATCCCAAATATTATAAAGGTTATTAGTACACAAGGTTTGTGGACATATGCAAGTTTCAAACTCGTGAGCTTGCTTTCTTTTGAACGATACTATAGAAATGATATAAGACCCGTAATTAATCTTCTCGCAAGAAATCGAGTAATTGTAACCACTTCATCACAATGATACCCAAAAACTAATCAGTTTCCCTCTCACTTTATCTGTTAACCAAATGAGCCCTGACTTTTTTGATTCCTAGGAATGCGCTTTTGCCTAATTTTGAGGTTTAAGTATTAACAATGGGCCGTCCCTTAATCCTTATCTGACT